ACTGCGTCCCACTTTTCTTACCTACCTTGGATTTTGGTGAGAAAAACGAATGTGTGTTTTTTACTTAGTCCTAGGAATATGATACGAAGAGTGAAGTTTGGCCTAATGTATGGCTTTCCCTTCCTTGGGGTCCCTTTTATGGCTCAGAATCCTGATTTCCAGTCCTTCCTACTGCCTTTTTTTCTCTCACACTGGAATGTACCTCCTTCTAATTTTGCTTTCTCAGGTTTAAGGGCTCAGCTATCAGATGTTAGTACAAGAAGGAAACAGGACATCCAGTTTGGGGGTTAGCAGTCTTTGGCTCATAGGCCAAACCCAGCTGCTTGTTTCTATGCAGACAATGAGCTAAGAATGGTTTCTACACTTTTAAAAGGTTGAAAACAAGTCAAAGAATATTTTATGACACATGAAAGTTTTCCACATCCATAAATGATCAGATAACCCATTCATTTACATGTTATCTGTGGCTGCTTACAGCCCTGCAAAGCCTAAAATATTTGCTATCTAGCTTTTACAGAAAATGTTTTGCCAACACCTCATCTAATTCATTACTCTAATTTTACAGATGAAAAAAGTAAGGTCCAAATAGGTGAATTGGCCTGTCCAAAGGTATACAACTCTTCAGAAATTGGTCTGGAACACGTTCTCTGCTACCCTCCAGTGCTCTGTCCACTGTGATACAGGCCCTCATATGAACACTCGCTGCAGAGGGCAATGCTTTTTTTTTTTTTTTTTTTTTTTTTTTTGAGACAAGGTCTTGCTCATCCAGATTGGAGTGCAGTAGTGCAGTCCTTGCCCACTACAGCTTTGACCTCCTGAGCTCAAGTGATCCTCCTGCCTCAGCCTCCCAAGTAGCTGAGACCACAAGCCCATGCCACCACACTCTGATTTTTTTTTTTTTTTTTTTTTTTTTTTGGGTAGAGATGTATCTCGCTATGTTGCCCAGGCTAGTATTGGAGCTCCTAGCCTCAAGTGATCCTCCTGCCTCCGCCTCCCAAAATATTGGGATTACTGATGTGAGCCACCCTGTCTACCCCAAGGCAGCTTTTTAATGAAAATAAATATTTATAACACATGCACATGTGAAGTCTGTGAGTTCTTAGGATTTTAATTTTCACTTGAAATCTAATTCTAGGAAATACCTTAAGCTTGAAATACATTTGAACTACTTAAACAGGTAGAAAGGTGCCTCCCTTTTCCCTTATAACAACTGATTACATCCTCTGTGCAGCATCTGGGCAGTGAAAAGGAGGAAGACTGACTTGGTTCCGCATCCTCCTAAGTTGTAGAATTTCATTTAGAGAAAAATAGCTCTGGTCTCAATGCAAGTTTGAACTTAAGAGTAGTTCCAGAAAATTACAAAAGCATATTAGTTGGGACTCAGGTCAAAGGGGGTGGAACGGGAACATTCCCGAGATGCCAACCTTATGGAAAATGAGAGTGCTTTAACCACCCAGCGCAACTTCCCCCAGCCCTCCCCACGTGGGGACAGCACCATGTTTGCTGACTGGCATGGGATTTCCCACCACGCACATTTCCACACGTTGTCTCAGCGGCAAAGTTAGAAGAAGCTGGGCACGGTATACATGTGAATGACTGGGACTTTTCCAGGCACAGCCTTCCCCAGCTGGTTGCCAGCTCTCCCTTCCCTATCCTGCGGCAGATCCCTCAACACCATTGTAGGCAGATTCTACACCTTGCCAGTCACTTTGGATTACTGAAGTGTGTCCATTTTAAACCTCCAATCTCAGGTCCGATCCAGAGCCTTCCGTTCCCTGTCAGCAGCGAGACACGGGCCTCAAGGGAACTGGCAGGCTGATTGCCCTCCCTGTGCTACCTCAACCAAAGGGTCCCGGGCCTGGGTTTGCCTCCAGGAGACGTCTTCCCTTTCTTTCTAGGGTTCAGCTCCTGCAGTGTGTTGGATGAGACAGAAAAAGAAGCAATGAGAGTCTTTCTTTGCTGGCGACTGCTGGTATCTCCCTCTTGGCCATGCCTGCTCCCCTGAGTAGCACCAGGTATCCCTGATGCTTTCCTCCTCAGAGGCAGATATGCAAGCCCAGCTTTTCCCTGGGGTGTATGCGAGTTTTACCTTGGGGTACTTTCACATTCTCACTGCTGGAGACGTGACTGAGCACGCAGCATTTTAGGTGAGCCCTGGCAAGCTAGCCCAAGCTTGTCTACCTCACTGATGTCCACTTGACCCACAGAAAACTCATGCCTTCTCGCCATGCCAAGCAGTGGCAGTCTCTCCCTGGCCAGTTCTCTCCTGCCATGTGTGGCCCTCACCCTGTTCCTCAAAGGCACCAGGCTCTGTTTGTCTGCTGGTGCTTCTGTGTCATCGGTCTGCTATGGTGTACCATTCCCCGCCCCCATCCTTCCTTGCACACCTGGTGTGTCTGTATTCATCCTTCAGGTCCTGCACTAAATGCGGCTTCATTGGAGAAGCAGACCCTGACTGCGGATGCCGCACACTGACGGAGGATTCCATTACATGTTCTTATGAAATCCTGTTATTTCCCTTCATAATGCCTGTCACAACTGTAATGGTATAGTAATTTAAGCCATTACTGGTTTCCCTCTGGTAGACTAATTCCTTGGGGCAAGAATCATGTCTGTCATGTTCCCCAGTGCAGGGCCAGGTGTGAGTGGCACCCAGCACATCCTCACAAAAGCATGAGAGAGAACAGGGAGCTAAAAGACACAGATCCAGCCTTAAGCAGTCGGCTCAGCACAAATTGTAATTCAGTTTCCCACTTTTAACTTTTCCCGTCTCCCTCGTGGGTTCCTTCCTTATTCTTCCCATTCCGTCTCTCTCCCTCACTCTCTGCTTGCCTTCGTTGCTTCCTTCCTTTTTTTTTTTTTTTTTTTTTTTTTCCTTCTCTTTCATGTGCCTTAATCCAAGAACCCAAGCTTTGTTTCCAATAGCTTGGAAAACTGAACCAAGAGCTACTGTGGTTTTGTGCGATCACTTCTTTTTCTCCAGTTTTAGACTCCATAGAACCCCTCTGTGGATGTGGGCTCGGTTTCAAAGCCTGGGCTTCAGCACACATTTAAGAAAGCCCTGGTCTTGTGTATGGGCTACAAATATGTACTGGAAGCCCACAAGTGTGGACTGACCATTGTCCAGCACATCTGTTCTCTTCCTATACCTGTGTGCATCATCATAACTGTTAAGAATACTATCATTTATTGTTTTCTAGTAACACCTACACTAGAAGGTAGGTGATGTTATTTATAAACTGAAGCTGAAGATCAAATAACGTACCCACTTTCAGGGTTAAATAAATGGCAGTCCTAGTTAGAACTCACATGTCTAGTAAGACAACAGATGTTAAGGTATCCTATAAACTGTAAAAGACTACATAAATGTAAAAGGCATAATTAATGTAATTATACTTCTACATGTAATGTCATTACATAGCGTTCTTTAAATCTCTACCTATATATGAAAAAAAAAAGAAAGAAAAGAAAAGAAAAGAGAAACACTCACATGGAGCATGGTTGGCTTTTCATAGGAAATCCACATCTGTTGGCTGTGGGGTTGCTCCCGCACCACCGCCGTTTCTGTGTCGTGTTCCGAGCTTCTGATGGGACGGCCGCAATGTACCAATCACTCTCTGCTGTTCATCAGATTTTTCTGGGAGCTGCTTTAAGGAGAGGAGATAGAGAACAATTTCATTTCTCTGTCCTCACCCAGTTTTAAACTCCAGAAACAGCACGGAAAACTTTATTTTTTATAAAACTTTTTTTTTTTTTTTCCCTAAAGGAGTAGGCCATCTAGTGGAGTAACTGGGAAATGCCCTCTCTGAGGGCAGAACTTGACCTTCAGACCCACGGCGAGCCACCGCTTTAGGAGCCCTGGTCTCAGTAGGACAGTAATGAGAGGTTGTGTCACTACCATGCAGGGCATGGAGCCAAAGGGAGCTTTCTCTTATTGAATGAAGTTTTTTGGTGGTATGTGTATTTCTGTGTATACTTAAGAAAGTGTTCCCACAAGCCTTAAATTAAGGCAAACCAGCAGAATCACCAGAGAATAAAGACCAACAGCATCAACCTAGGATACAGATGTCTTCAGTAGTCTATAGCTGGACATTGAAATCGTATGCTCAACCTATTGAAATTGATCTTAATTTGATGGGAATTAAGAAGCTTCTCTTCCTCTGGTTCTGCAATAGATTTCTAATGATTCCCAATTGTATTACTCCAAGAAATTAGATAAATGATTCTAAAACCTTGAAATGGTAAGTAATTCAGAGAACTTCATCTTTATGTTAAAAACCGAATTAATAGAATTTTAGAGCTAGAAAGGCCCCTAGCAACTAGTGAATCCAGTCATTTATTTTCTACAAGAAGAAAACTAAGGCCCTGGAAGACTAAATCATTTGTCGATAACCACACAATTGTCTTCTTCAGGATAATTCTTTTCTGTGTAATTCTTATTCAGGAAGCAGTCTGACTAACCCTGAGCTAAAGTTTCAATTGCAAGTGCTTTTGGTTTTCTTGTTCTGGAATTGTGCGTGTCTGTGTTTGCCTTTGCCGTTTGAAGTCTCAGCCACGGCACTAACCCATGGCCTGGCGCCTGAGTGCTGGAGAATGTCTCTGCCATTGTTCCGCCTCCATCCCCAGCCTTGACAAGGAAAAATGACAGAGGTTCAGAAAGGTCAACAGTGGCTCACCCCATTTCATAACTCGCTGGTCCCAAACCTGGAATTGAACTCTGCTCTTCAGATGCCCGATGTACTGTGGTATATTTCCTCGGATGCCAGGCTCCGCCCCAGTCATGCCACTCCCACGGGTTAAAAAGCATGCATACAAAGTTAGCAGAAGCAGATTTACTTGAGAAGTATACTAACTAGAATTTTTAAAATTTGTAGGATGGTAAAGTTATTTGGTGTAGTCTTTAGGATTTCAGATTGGGGCATTTTCTGCCTTTTCTTCTGTTGCCTTCAGAAATGAGGAAGATATTTCCATTTGATTTCTCTCTCTTTTTCCAACTCCAGCATATAAATAACGACCATATTCATGGAGAGAAGAAGGAGTTTGTGTGCAGGTGGCTGGACTGCTCAAGAGAGCAGAAACCCTTCAAAGCCCAGTATATGTTGGTAGTGCATATGAGAAGACACACAGGCGAGAAGCCTCACAAATGCACTGTGAGTACAGAAGTGGGAGGCAGGCACACGGGGGTCCTTCCCCATACTCAGAAGAGCTATGCAAGCTGATGACTCGAGCTCAGGGGAAGCCTGGTTGGGTGGCGGGAGAAGAGGACTGGAGTGTTGTCTGGTGATAAATACTTGGGTGTTTGAGTGATTGAGTTGGACAGCGCAGCACTGCAGAGTAGGAAGGGGGCAGCGACAGCTGGCACTGGGAATGAACACAGAGTCACCCTGCTGGCCACGGCCCAACAACTTACGGTACCCTGGGGCTTGGAAGGCAAAGGGAAGTGCCAGCTTCCAACTTACAGAGTCAAAGTTGACTTTTAAAACAGCTAATCCCCATACCAGGTTTTAAAGTTTTCCCTTCCTTTCCTAGCGGGTAATTGGGCACAGCATAGGCGCATGGAATGGGACAGGCCTGCTGCAAGGCTGTGCATTCCTCACTGTGGTGCCCACAAGGCGCACTGGGCACACCGATCCCTGGTACTTTACATCTTAAAGGCCCTTTACAAGCATGATCAAATTCCATGTCTTTGTGTGGACACAAAGCTATATTAATGAACTTTGTGCTGAATCTGAAATCAGTGGGAATTTGAGGAGATCAATGAGCAGATAATGAAACCCATTGTCCACATTGAGCGGTCTATTAAAAAAAAAAAAAAAAAAAAAAAAAAAACTTCAGGACTTTTACTGGCACTGAAAACTCTTTATCTTGAACTGCACCAAGCTACATCTGAATCCCAATAAATGCAGAGTTTAGTGGACTTTTGTTCCTGGGTTTTGAAAAGCTGCTGACCCTTAAAACGTCAGTTTTTCATCAGCTTGGAGGGCGTGTTAGGCATAAGCTGCTGTTGCCATTGTGCAGAGTAATCCAGATTTACCTGTTGTCCTCAGTTTGAAGGTTGCACAAAGGCCTACTCGAGACTAGAAAACTTGAAAACACACTTGAGATCTCACACTGGAGAGAAACCATACGTCTGTGAGCACGAGGGTTGCAACAAGGCTTTCTCAAATGCCTCTGATCGCGCCAAGCACCAAAACAGAACACATTCCAATGAGGTAAGCAGCCTCCATGGGCACAGAGTTTGCATAGGAAACAAAGAACCATCCCTGGGAAGGCACATGGGAAGGCGTAGTGTGTTCTGTTTTGTTTTCCTCTTGGCCATTCCCAGCATGAGTGAGCTCTGCCCCTGCAGGTGAAGGCTTGGGCTTCCGAGGTGGGACTGAAAACTGAACCTTATTTAGAGAATAATAAGAGATGAAGAAGAAACTTCTTAAAACCCCTAGTGAACTTTTTAGTTTCATGTTGTTTTGAACTGCCACCTACTGGTCAAATTATTTAACTTGGACTCTGAGCCAGTCACTCTGCCCAAAATAGCATGAATCCATGCAAAGGATGACCCTGTAAGCCCCAAGGATATATTAAGAAGTAGCATGTTGACAGCTGACAGCTTCCTGCTAAGTCGTCCACTTTCATTTGCTTCCTCCAAGTGATACCTTCAAATGTATTATATCAAAAAAGATTTTTACAGAGCAACCAGCCTTGGCTAAATGCAATTTTCAGACATTGTAAATTCTAAAGGAACTTGGAAGATGGTCTCAGAAACCCAGGATACTTTCTAGGCAGTCATTTAAGACAACATTTTGAGTAAAGCTTCAGGGTGGTTCCTGGTGTTACTGTTATTTTTAGGTAGTTATTCCCCCTAAATTGTAGAGATGTGTAAGAATGAAAAGTATTCCAGATTCATGGCTCACATTTTAGTGCACATCTTCCTACGGATTTCCAGCTTGGCCCTAGAGGTCTAGCTCAAATTCTAGCTTGTCTGTGAAACCTTCTCTTGAATGTCAGGAGATTCACGGAAAGACTCCCCACATTGAGTGTAAATAGGATAGCTAACCAGAATTTGTTGACATGAAACATAGTTCATGCTACAAGTGTGTCATCAGTTTGCTTGAAATGTGTTAGAGAAGGAACACTGCACACACATGAGACCTTGGAGTGGCTGTCATTGGATCTCATGAGTACGGGTCAAGCCCATTCATGATCTTTCAGACAGAGAGCTGGACAGAGAGAATCTTGATAGAGACAAAGTGAGTCCTTCTGCTCAGTGTCCATTTGGCCTTGAGGTGGCAAAGATAGTTCTCACCGTGTTTTCTTCAGTTCAAACTGACAGAGCAAAAACATCTCTAAAGGGATTAACCGCACTCTAAAAAGCACGCTCAAACTCACACGTATACGTTCATATACACCAACTTTTTATGTGAAAAGGTCATGGAAACTGGAGTTATTTAGAATCTCATTCTTTTCAACTGTTTGAATACATTTTAAAGATGCCACATCCCCATTTTTTAATGTAAAAATGCTTTTACAGTATGCAGTAGCTGAAATATAGTCTATTATGCTTGTTTTGTACAAAATTTTAGGGAGTTTAGAACAGACAAATCCATAGAGATAGAAAGTAGATTAGTGGTTGCCAAAGCAGTGGGGTGAGTGAATGGCAATGACTCATAATGGGCACAAGGTTTTTTTGTTGGGGTGGTGAGGATATTCTGGAATTAGGTAATGGTGATGATTACACAATGTCTAGAATGTACTAAATGCCACCGAATTGTGCAATTTAAAGGGATCATTTTTATGGCATGTGAACTATATTTCAATTTAAAATTTTAAGGGGTTTTGACTTAACGTAGAATGTATTTCATCTATTTCATATATTTAGGTATAATTTTGGCTAGGAATTTAGAGGGCGTTCATTCCTTTAGATGTTAGGCCAATGCTCTCCCCTAGTATCATGGAGAAATTTGGCCAGTGGGTATGTTAGGATCAGAATGCACACATATAAAGATAATTACCAAGGTTTTTGTCTTTTTATGGACCTAAAATATTTGTACATGTCTGTTTGCTTTAACTGTAGCATAATCGGGCTTGTGTTCTTCTGCAAGGTAAAAAGTGCAATGCTATGTGAGAGCTGAGTTATCTTTTATCTTGGGCAATAATATTGATCACGTTTGAGCAATTTACTTAAATTATTAACCTTGATCATAAATTCATAATTAAAATTCTACCCACAGACATATTTACAAACACATTATATTTCTTTTTTTCTATATATGCAAGGCTTTGGCCCTATGTATGAATGATGGACATTTTCAGATGCATCAAAATTAAGTTTGTCCAGGAAATCCAGATTTGTGCTATCTCACAATCCTAGTTAAGTGACTTGCTTTCATTTCTTTCCCCTTATGGCAACCTCATTTATTCATTAAGTGAATACTGATAGCTAATTATGTGTCAAGCCCTTTGCTATTCTAAGTGTGGCCAAGAAAATAATGGACTGGAACAGGAAGGGAATAATTTCTGGCACTTCTCTGTCCCTCTGGCTGTCCAGCTCATTTAGGGCCGCTAGACCGACCATAGCTCTGACAGGACTTCTTACTTCAGATCACACAGCTCATTTTTACCCCAAAGATACCACTAAACAAGTTTCCTGAGTTCTGATTCAGCTGAACCTCCCTGTCTAGAAAGCTGCAATGGCTCCCTCTTTCCTGTGGGGAAACTTTAGACTCCCTAAGCTTGTATAAGTGCCTGTTCCTACAGGACCCAAGCTCACCCCTCCAGTCCTGAGCTCTCACTGTCATGACCATGACTGAAACCTTCCAGAAGCCACTGCTGTGGACTGTCTTGCTTAGGTGCATGACGTGTCTCTGCCACTGGTTTGCTGAGCACACTTCTTTTTGGCATCCCAAGTAAAATGACTCCTCCTAACAAAAGCTCTGTATATTGAGTGCTCACTATGTTCCATGCATCCTGGTAAGCACTTCATGTATATGCTCTAATTTAATGCTTACCAATAACCATGTGAGCTGGACATTAAGCCCAGATATAGAATCTTAATCACTGATGCTTCCCATTATGATCTCAGCTGAAAAAAAATGATCCTCCTCTGCCTATACCCTTACATAGTATCCACACTTTATATTATAGATCATTGCATCTTCTTCTTTTTCCTACCAGATTTTGTATTCTTATGATTAAATCTTGTCATATGCAACTTTGTGCTTGCAGAACCTTGTACCTCAGTAAATCTGAGAACATTTTTCTTAGCCCCTAATTATATTTCAGTCTCGGATCACAACAAAATTTGTGGGCAAAAGCTGTGTGAAGGGTTAATATACTTTGTTTACGTTGTGTTGTTGTGAGGTATACATTTCCTGAACCTGTACTCCTGTGAATTTTTGTGGGTAGATAATGTGTCTGTTCACATACAAGGACACATGGGCACAGGTGCACTTCCATAGGCTATTGTTTCTGGAAGTGCAGGAGCTGACACATTTGTATACTGATTACACACTGGCTGCGCCCTTGGTTCTAGGCTAACCCATAGCGTACATGCATGTATTTATAGGAAGAATAGCTCTTCAAACATGCAGGCTTTGTGCTCCCCTCTCTCCTTCTGGTCTCCACACTTCTGCCCCATATATCCCAGTCTGCCTGCTGATGGAGCAACCTGTCACAGCAATGCTGTGAGCAAGCAGAGGGCCTGGGTCAGAACGCTGTAAGATAATGGCACTAATTGTCAGAGCCATTCTTCTGTCCCTAATGCATGGAATTTGATGTGCTCATCTCATTTTATATATAGATATCTATATATACTGCAAATCACACAAGTTCCTGAATAGATGTAATTCGTAGTTAATGGGAATCAGTTCTACCCAAAGGAATCTCAAGTTTGGAGGTGAAACCTCACAGGATAATTTTCAGGATCTTTGCTTCACTGCATTAGGACATTTCAGCATTTTAGGTAGCACTCAGTGTGTTCTTGGGCTTTTAGTGAAAAAGCATCTTTTAGACATACATTCTACAAGACATAGCATCATTTTAAATATAATAAGTACATTATATTGATCCTGCTTTTCATGACGATTGCTTACATAAAAGCTCATCCTCTGCTGTACGTAGATACAAATATATATTCATGAAAGCATCCTTGCATATATTATATTTCAGGCCAAGTGAACAAACTCCCAAGTGTGATGTTGGTCATGAGCAAGGGCCAACAGTTCTGTGATTTGAGAAAGCATTTCACTTATATAAGCATTCACATAATTATTTATGACTGTATCCTCAGGCTTCATCACTGACCCACACAGAAAGTGAGATTAGCATGAAATAATTTATAGACCTTAGTTACAAAGCTCAGGAGAAGAACACAGACCATAAATCCTGGTCCCCAAAACATCTGTCAGCCCTCTGAAGTTTGGGATGAGGGTTCACGGACAGTCCATAATAGGGCCTTCCAACTTCGAAGATCAGAAAGGTTCTGGCTATTTTGAGCCCTGAATATCCCCACATTTGTAAATGCTACCCAAAGGAGGAGCACATTTTAGTGTAATCTAACATGGGAGAGGCCATAGGCAATTTTAAAATGATGCCTATGCATAAATAGCACATTTTCAAAAGGATCAGAGTGATATTCCGTCTCAGAACCAGGACATCCATAAGAAATTTTGTCACACAACCTCTTCTGAAAGGTGTACAGTCTTCTAATTAGGTGATGGGTATCTTTTAAGCCATCTTCATTGTCGTCATCATCATCAAATATCTATCAAGTGCCTCTGATGGCACCGTGATACTTCTCACTCACAGTATAAATGCTTCCGAGAACATCAAGGCAATTTACACATTCTCAGTTCTCCCTGAGCCTCTCTCTCTCAAGCCATCACCTATTAAAGCTAGACTCTACGGACAGGGAATTGTGTTCTAATGGCCTTATTAAACCATTAGTTCCTAGAGGTATCTGAACACCTCAAAGCCTTGTGAAAGTGTTTTGAAAGGATTAAAAGTGTAATGAGCAACCATAAAGGACTTTCAGGCTGGGGCATAATCACTTTCATAACAATCTCTTACCTCATTCTTGTGGCATTTGGCAGAAACCATATGTGTGCAAAATCCCAGGCTGCACTAAGCGTTACACAGACCCAAGCTCCCTCCGGAAACACGTGAAGACAGTGCACGGCCCAGAGGCTCATGTCACCAAGAAGCAGCGAGGGGACATCCATCCTCGGCCTCCACCCCCGAGAGATTCCGGCAGCCATTCACAGTCCAGGTCGCCTGGCCGGCCGACTCAGGGAGCCCTCGGTGAGCAGCAGGACCTTAGCAACACTACCTCAAAGCGAGAAGAATGCCTCCAGGTGAAAACCGTCAAGGCGGAGAAGCCCATGGTATGTCATTCACTCGCCTTCTGACTTCACAGCAGGCCCAGGGTCATTTAAAAGAGCCAGGTAGGGTGCATAGAGGGCAGGACTTCCCCAGTCCTCACTGTGTCAGGCTGTCTCTCACCTGAGGAGGTCATGAGGGCAGTCACTTGGATTGCTTACTTGAAGTTGATCAGCTCAGAAAAAGAGTTTCCAGGTTGCCTGATTTTTAAAATCCCTCTCAGAGCCATACCACTGTGCCATGAAAGGAAGACACGACTGTCTGTCTCTCCAGCGTGTCTGTAATGTCAAAAATCATTCACTGAGTCTTCTTGTAAACATGCTCTGTGTCTTCTTTGCCCTGGTGACCCCAACGTAAATAAACCACAGCCTGTATTCTTTAGGGGTTTACAGTCCAAAGGGATAGACAGACTGAAAAACAAATACCATGCAGTGTGATGGGGGCTTACACACAAGTCTGTGTAAAGAGGATTCAAGAGAGGGTGAACTGCCAGTCAGTTGGGGCAGAGGAGGCCATGGGATGGGAGCTCAGTGCTCCAGAGGGAAGAGCTAAGGAGGTGGAGGAGGGGGAGGAGCACAGGGGTGGGAGGGGATCGGCACAGCAGGGGTGAGTTTTTTTGTTTGTTTTTTGAGGAAACCACTGCAGTACCAGTCTAGAGATTGGATAAACTGGAGATCACTTCTCCAGTTGGGCCTGAACGAGAGAGGCAGAGCACAAGGGAGGGATGGGAAAGATTCCGTAGGCAAACATCTTTCTGTTTGGTGACTAACAGGACATGTAGGTTCTGCTATTCTTCCAGCTTCTTTCAAACCTCAGTTGGTGACTTTGCTTCATGAATGTGATTTTGTAAAATGCCTAAACATTTCAAAGACAACAAGAAAAATAAAAAGAGTAGATAGTAGAGGAGATTTGGCCCAGATAGAATGGATTTAATTGTGCAGATATATTGGGTTCTGGGCTGTCACTCTCTAACCTAAGTGTACCAGAGAAAAGTTTCATGCTCAGATTCCCAGCTGTACGGAAATGATCAGGCAGACAGAATTATACTTAAAGCAAGCATTTTCTTAAAATTAGAGCAGTCTATCAATTGGGTGGGCAGCCTATGAATTCATGTACGTGTGGGTGGGAAATAATGTACAATGTCACCATTGGGAGGGTGGGAGGCTACATTTTAATGACTTACTGAGTTTATCTTTAAACTCTTAAGAGTCTTAGAGAGTGACATTAAGTCTAGCCAAAAATAACACAAATAGGCTATCCAGATTTTTCATTATTACTCAGTGGGGAGCTGTACTTTGTTTTAAAAAAGTATCTTAATAAAATGTTTATACATGCATTATGATTGATCACTGTATTTTAATCAGTTCATAAACTGTGTTTTATATACTTTTTTGGAGGGGAGCACATGTCTATTTTTAAAATAAAGCCTACCTGTATAATAATTGTACAGAACATTCAACAGTTTACGCTCAAGGGTTTAACAAAACAAGGAAAGTTAATTTGAAGCCTCTGAGATTATATCATGAAAAACCGATGATTGGTGTTGTTGGGATATTCTAAGAACCAGAATCTCTTCTACTTTTAGTGTACATTCCTAGCTCAAGAAAATTGTCATTTTCTCTTCAAACGCCCATTGTTTAAAAAGAAAATTTGTAGAAATAAAAATGTATACAAATTTGGCCCAGCGACATTGAGATGCCCCAATGTATGAAGTATTTTATAAAGTAATTCAATCATATTAGGTTGGTGCAAACGTAATTGTGGTTTTTGCCATTAAAAGTAATGACAAGACCAGGAAGTACTTTTGCACCAACCTAGAACCATATAAAAGAAACCATAGAGAGCCAGACCAGACCCATATTTTGAGGCAGCCGAGGCTCAGTGATGTTACATTATTACATTTCTGCAGCAGCTGTTATGTGTGTATATGCTCATGCACATGTATAAAAGTAGGTATCTTCATAGACATTTACTAATAAACATGAAATTGACATTTCTAGTTTTCTTTAAAAACATGTCTTTGATTTGGTCATCATGCTATAAATTAAATTCTTTCTTCTTTTTTCTTATTAATGCAACATCTCTTCTGTCTAATGCTCCTAAATGTCTTGTTCTCACTTCCTAAGGACAGTGGGTAATAAGGTGAGGGAATTTTGGCTTCTCTGTCCTTTTCATTTTGTTTTCCTTTCTAAACATTTACTTTTTTTGTGTTAATTTTTCTTTAGTTTTTGTGGTTTTGTGATATCTTTGGTAGTGAACATTACTCAGATATGTTTCGAATATAGCAGCAATGTGTTTTGAACATTCAGCATGTGAAAAAATGTGGAGTTAGTTGGTGAAATTCATTGTTCTATCTGTCTAGGTTTCCATTACAAATCACACTGGGGCCTACCAAGCAGATGTTCTGAGAGACTCATTATTGTACTAACTAGTGCAAATTCATCCAGACGTGCACCACCTTCTTTGAGGAAGATCTGGCTTCATTTGTTGTTAGCAGTGTAACCTCTATTTAAGTGTGGAAGCTCATTGAAGCAATTTCCTAATTGCGAGTGCATTTGTGCCTTCTTATATGCTCTATGGAAGTATATCTGCCTGTATGTTTGCACGCATGCACAGATTCATGTCCACACACTCTGATTTGACAGTCCAGGAGTAAGAGACATCCAGAGCTCTGGAAACAAGTACCTCAGGAAGGAGCCGGTGGTCTGGCAATCCAGCACTCTTCTGAGCCCAAAAATTAAGCAGCGTTCATATACTCATGATCAAATTTGTATATCTTATTTTGCTCTGCTTGGTTGCCCAGGACAAAGTCAGTGTACCATGCGGCACTCACTTAGAAAGTGTTCATTTGCTTGGGTGTATGTACTGTGATAGCAGAAGAAACGAATGGGTTCTCCTGTGAAGAGCCCTTCCTGGTGGCACTGCACATTCCACCTGATACTACAGTACTCTGTAACCAAATGAGTGTAGTTACCTGTCCCTAAAGCACTCTCCCTTCTAGCTGCTGTCAGTATTTATAGCAACACTGGTGAACGTGCTTGCAGACGCATGGAAGTAGCTGGCCTAGGAGTCCAGGCTAGTTGCACCATTCACTTTGTGACTTTGGGCAGTCACTGAACTTCTCTGAACATCACTTTGCTTATCTGTACAAAAAGGATCTGACTGTTAATCAACCAGGACACCGCTGGAACTTCAGATAGACCATTTGTGTTGTGCGACTGTCCTGTGCAGTGTAGGCCATTTTATATAGTAATCCCGAGACTTTCCACCCTGAATTCCCAGGAGCCCTGGGAATGAGCGGAGGCAGGACTTTCCCTGATTGAGGACCGGTGGACTACATTAACATTCCGTTGTTGGCAGCATTGTCTTACAGAGTCTGCTTGGTTGGGGTTGGGGAATCCTTTCCTAATCCTCCTAGTGAACTGTTAGGGAGTGCACTAAGGGGAATGGTGAAATCATTCTATAGACTCATGATGGCTGTGATCTGCAGCCTTTCTTTATTTCTGGGTGTAGCACAGGCTAAGTGATTGAAGTTTTACCTCTCTCAACTGTTTTTGCTGACACCTTGGTTGAGGTTCCACAAAAGCAGGAAACTGTGGAAGGAGGGAGGAGAGGCTACAAAGAGCCTGGCTCACCAGCCCTGAGCAGCCTACAGGGGCTCCTGTTGGAGGAGGCAATATATGCTGATGACGCGTGTCTTACATTTATGTTTCAGCTGAGCAAAATGAACCTAAAGACTAAAACCACCTGGGATCATCATAATTGCTAACACCCTGTGAGCCAATGTCTGTTATCCAGGTCTTTTTATATTTGGGAGCTCTCTGGGTTTCACGCTTAATTCCTGACAACAATCCCTGAAATAAATGGTCCCTGTTCTATAGATAAGGAAACTGAGGTTTAGAGTGGCTAAGTAATGTGCCCAAAGAATAAAGTGGTGGAGGTGGGGTTGGAACCAAGGAAGTGTGTTTGCAGAGTTGGTGATTAGGGCAGGATTCCATGGCTGATACCATGCCACTTACACTGCAGCTAGCATACTCTGCTGTCCATTGCCTCCCAGTGCCCATCAGCCTGGTGGTCCATCGGTCATTTTGGCCAAAAGAGACCACCTCCATTCACCAGAACATAGTTTTTCTTCTCATTTAACCAACAGATGATCTTGAAGGTCTTGACATGCATGAGCTCTCATTATTGGCGCCTTTTCCTTGACCCTTCCTGGTGACATTGCTTTCCTTTCCGCTTGACCCCAACAGACATCTCAGCCAAGCCCTGGTGGTCAGTCTTCATGCAGCAGCCAACAGTCCCCCATCAGCAACTATTCCAACAGTGGGCTCGAGCTTCCTCTGACCGATGGAGGTAGTATAGGAGACCTCAGTGCCATCGACGAAACCCCAATCATGGACTCGACCATTTCCACTGCAACCACAGCCCTTGCTTTGCAAGCCAGGAGAAACCCGGCAGGGACCAAATGGATGGAGCACATAAAACTAGAAAGGTTAAAACAAGTGAATGGAATGTTTCCGCGACTGAACCCCATTCTACCCCCTAAAGCCCCTGCAGTCTCTCCTCTCATAGGAAATGGTGAGTTCCACAACAGACCATGCGTCTGTTCAGGGTTCTTTTTTCTGTTCTTTTAAATGCAGGCTCTCAGTTTTATGTTTGCCGGTTTCTCCACCAGTCCTAAAATGATGCTGTAACTGTCCGTTAATGGTCAGCCCATTGAAGTTGCCTTTTTTTGGATGGTCCATATTTTAAAAACAGCTAGGAAGTGGATATTATTGAGAAAAAAAAAGTGACTGTGCATGACTCATATTCCGATGGTGAAATCGTAACTGTTAGACTAGGGTAAGAGACTGTCAGCAGTAGAGGCATCTGTGGTTGCAACTCTGTCTCTAATTTCCAAAATTTAAGAACAGGAGGTTAGCATCCACTTTTATTTATATTTGCCCACTTCAAGGAAAGGCAAAAATCCCTCCCTCTCGTCAGTCCCCAGGTCAGTTTGTGCTTCTGAGATTATACTTCTGGAAGCACCTGAGGGTGAGGCACGCCCCTGCACCAACCCAGGTGTTCCCTGTTAATAGGACGTGGCATGAACAGGACGCCCTGAGCATGAATGTGAAATGTATGGAATACCTTGGCCTGGGGACTTGGCTGGAACTCAAGCGTTGTGTGCACATCCCAAGATTCTTTTTGTCCTTGCGCTGTGCTTGGGGAGGGACTTCACTGACTTGAGGGAGTTCATCGCCAGCCACCCCTCATTTTTGTACAGGAAGCTTCATGGGCACCCAGCCATGCCTACTCTCTCACTGCTGTCTGTGGCCGCGTTGGGGCTACACTGCAGAGCTGAGTAGTTGTGAGGCCCACAGTGTGGCCTGGGACACCAAAACTAGTTTCTAGCTGGCCCTTTACAGAAAAGGGTTGCTTGCGCATGCCTGGCGTAAGTCCTCCTCGAAGGGAATTCATCTCCGTACGCTCTCTCCCTTTCTCTGTCTCCAGGCACACAGTCCAACAACACCTGCAGCTTGGGTGGGCCCATGACCCTTCTCCCGGGCAGAAGCGACCTCTCCGGGGTGGACGTCACCATGCTGAACATGCTCAACAGGAGGGACAGCAGTGCCAGCACCATCAGCTCGGCCTACCTGAGCAGCCGCCGCTCCTCGGGCATCTCGCCCTGCTTCTCCAGCCGCCGCTCCAGCGAGGCGTCGCAGGCCGAGGGCCGGCCGCAGAACGTGAGTGTGGCCGACTCCTACGACCCCATCTCCACCGACGCCTCGCGCCGCTCCAGCGAGGCCAGCCAGGGTGACGGCCTGCCCAGCCTGCTCAGCCTCACGCCCGCCCAGCAGTATCGCCTCAAGGCCAAGTACGCGGCCGCCACGGGCGGACCGCCGCCCACGCCCCTGCCCAACATGGAGAGGATGAGCCTGAAGACGCGCCTGGCGCTGCTCGGGGACTCCCTCGAGCCCGGCGTGGCCCTGCCTCCAGTCCACGTCCCGAGGAGGTGCAGCGATGGGGGAGCCCACGGCTACGGGCGGCGCCACCTGCAGCCACACGACGCGCCGGGCCACGGGGTGAGGAGGGCCAGCGACCCCGTGCGCACGGGCTCCGAGGGCCTGGCCCTGCCCCGCGTGCCGCGCTTCAGCAGCCTCAGCAGCTGCAACCCGTCGGCGATGGCCCCGTCCGCGGAGAAGCGAAGCCTGGTGCTTCAGAATTACACGCGGCCCGAGGGCGTCCAGCCCCGAAACGTCCACTCGTCCCCGTGTCCTCCTAGCATCACCGAGAACGTCACCCTGGAGTCCCTGAGCATGGACGCTGATGCCAGCTTGAACGATGAGGATTTCCTGCCGGACGACGTGGTGCAGTATTTAAATTCCCAGAACCCAGCAGGGTACGAGCAGCACTTCCCGAGCGCCCTCCCGGATGAGAGCAAAGTGCCCCACGGGCCCGGTGACTTTGACGCACCAGGGCTGCCAGACAGCCACGCCGGCCAGCATTTCCATGCCCTCGAGCAGCCCTGCCCCGAGGGCAGCAAAACCGACTTGCCCATCCAGTGGAACGAAGTCAGCTCCGGGAGTGCCGACCTGTCCTCCTCCAAGCTCAAGTGTGGCCCGCGGCCCGCCGTGCCGCAGACTCGCGCCTTTGGGTTCTGCAACGGCATGGTGGTCCACCCGCAGAACCCCTTGAGGAGTGGGCCCGCTGGGGGCTATCTCGGGGAGAACAGCAGCCCCTATGGTGGCCCAGAGCACTTGGTGCTGCACAGCAGCCCCGGAAGTGGTACCAGTGGAAATGCCTTCCATGAACAACCCTGCAAGGCCCCGCAGTATGGGAACTGTCTCAACAGGCAGCCAGTGGCCCCTGGTGCACTAGACGCTACCTGTGGGGCAGGGATTCAAGCCTCAAAGCTGAAAAGCACCCCTATGCAAGGGAGCGGGGGCCAGCTGAATTTCAGCCTGCCGGTAGCGCCAAATGAGTCAGCTGGCAGCGCAGTAAATGGCATGCAGACCCAGGATCCGGTGGGACAGGGGTACCTGGCTCACCAGCTCCTTGGCGACGGCATGCAGCACCAGGGGCCAGGCCGTCCTGGTCAGCAGATGCTTGGGCAGGTTAGTGCTACCTCACATATCAACATCTATCAAGGGCCAGAGAGCTGCCTGCCAGGGGCTAACGGCATGGGCAGCCAGCCGTCAAGCTTGGCAGTTGTCAGGGGCTACCAGCCGTGTGCCAGCTTTGGGGGCAGCAGGCGCCAGGCCGTGCCGAGGGGCAGCCTTGCTCTGCAGTCAGGACAGCTCAGTGACACAAGTCAGACCTGCAGGGTGAATGGCATCAAGATGGAGATGAAAGGGCAGCCCCATCCACTGTGCTCTAATCTGAATTACTCTGGTCAGTTCTATGACCAAACCGTGGGCTTCAGTCAGCAAGACGCGAAAGCTGGTTCATTCTCCGTTTCAGATACCAGCTGCCTGCTACAGGGGACCAGCGCCAAAAACTCTGAGTTACTTTCCCCAGGTGCTAATCAGGTGACAAGCACAGTGGACAGCCTCGACAGCCATGACCTGGAAGGGGTACAGATTGATTTCGATGCCATCATAGACGATGGGGACCACTCCAGCCTGATGTCGGGGGCCCTGAGCCCAAGTATCATTCAGAACCTTTCCCATAGCTCCTCCCGTCTCACCACGCCTCGGGCATCCCTCCCGTTCCCGGCGCTGTCCATGAGCACCACCAACATGGCTATCGGGGACATGAGTTCTTTGCTGACCTCCCTAGCGGAAGAAAGCAAATTCCTTGCAGTTATGCAATAGGCTTTAGGAAGGAAAAGGACTGCAACAAACGTGAATCTATAGGAGTCAAAAAGATGAAACTGACTTTGTTTTGGCTGGTTTTTTTTTAGTTCTGTATGTATTTTAGCAGTCTCATCTCACATACCTGGGATGTGTTTCAAATATATTCCTTTTATGGAAAAGGACTCTGAAAAACCCTAAAGTATTCTAGGGAGAAACTGTCTTCCATTTCAGTTTTGAATCAGTATTGTTACACTCAAACCACCCTCTTTTTTAAAAAAAAAAACAAACAAACAAACTGTAAGCTCCCCCACCTTTTTTAGTAAACTGATGTAAATGTGTGATGTGCATATTCTTTCTTTTAGAAGAGCAGTCAAATTAAAGGATTTGACATGTCTTGCTGTTGCTCAAAGGAAATAGGAGTTGGTGTGCTTGTGACCAAGGGGTTACACTTCCAGCTTTTAAAATAATTCTCCTTTACATGTGCTCAGTGTTTTGTGTTTTGGTTTCTGTTTTTGGTTTTTGTTTGTTTTTTTTTTATTTTATTTTTTATTTTAATTCCCACATTGGGCACAAGAATCAGAATATGGATAGTGAATTTAAGAATCTTTTGTGGTGCACTGTAGCATAGATGGCAGAATACTGATATTGTCCCCATCCCCAATTCAGTTCAGGACATACTTTGCATAGTTACACAGAAGTGGGAACGTGGGACTCTTGCAAATGAAATAGGCGCTCACAGTTTTGGTTTTCAGCTGTTCGTGTTCATAAGTGTGCTTTGGGGGAGGCTGTGTCTGTATGGCTGGTTCTCAGTTACCACACTTGCCTCTCCTCCCACTGCCTTCATGAACGTTCATTGCTGTTTAACACTGCACCCAGAGAGAAGGGACAGGCAGTTGGTGACACTCAGCCACGTTGCTACTTCTGTCTGTTCTGGTAAGAAATTAGGGAGCTTGTAGATTGAAGCAATTGGGTAGAATTAGTTGGGGGAATATTTGTGGGTTTGTTGTATTTGTTGATTAGTTCCGTCTCTTTCCATTATAACTGAGAATGGATTATATATAGCTCTAAGTATATAGGTATTTAAACAACTCCACAAGCAGCTGTATCAGTAACATTTCTTAATTCTGCTACAGTGTAGGAGAATTTCTATTCTAAATACCTTATTTTGAGAGATTTATAAAACTTAGTTGTAAAAGAGAAAGCCCACACAATGGGAATAAATTGCTTCAGCCATTGTTAGTGTTGGAGAGCCCTAGGGAAGGTGTTTAGTACCTGTGTGGATGCCTTTTTTCACACCCTGTCTATTGAATGCTGCATCCATCGACCAAGTTAAATGTTACATGCAGTTAGTCTGTAATGTGGACTAGATCTGTACTGTTTTGGATTAAAACATTTAAAGATTTTTGAAGTGCAGCTATGCCCCATGTGCAGTTGATACACATAAAAGTCATACTGCGTGTGCACAAAGAGTACATGGAATTTCCAGCATATTGCTTTAAAAATATATATAAACTATTAAAATATGAACACCTGGGGCTACCCGCTGTATTCTGCTGCATTGACCCCCAGAATTGGATGTATTGCAAGTGATTGATAATTCAATTATGTGGCTTTTCCCCTTTATTCCTGCCATTTCAATTACAGTAGAAAGACAAAATCAAGTAAAATAAAATGTTAGATAATAGAGTGTTAGGACCAGCCCACTTTTCTCATGTTTATGTTGCTTTCATTTGGACCAAGAATCTCTGCATGGAGGTTGATTTGCCATTGGGGACTTTGGCTAAGACTGTTGGGTTTGCTTTCAACTAGATGTTCCGGAGATGAGCAGAGGGATGCCGCAGTTCCCCTCCATGCCTGCTTGTCCTCCCCCACGTAAGTCGTCTTTGAAATTAAAGGATGTGTCTCCTTTGGAACAGCCCCAGCACAAAAGAGAACGAGTGATCTGAGCTTAGGAGAGTAGAGGTTCTACCACTTTTCAGCTGAAAAAGCAAGGCTTTCTCTATGTTTTTGAAACAGGACATGGTGTCACAAAATCAGAGATCCAGTCTCACTTTTCCATATCTTTTCCGAATCTCCATATCTCCGGGTCCGGGTCCTGGTCTTGTGTGGTCTCCTGGTTTCGCTCAATGCCTTTCCAACCCTGGTTTTCAAAGCATGGGGCCTGAGTGTTCTCCACTCCTGAGCAAGGAGCTTGGATGGAAGGCACCATGCTGACCTCCTCCACCAGTGGGCTCTCCCAGTAGTATTCTTGGATACAACTGCATTTCTCAGTTACCATCATTTCCTGCATCAGCTTCGTCCTTCGTGGAGGGATGAATGCGATCAGGCCCACCACTGTTGTCTTGCTCCTTCCTGTGGTTTCAGGTCATTTTCTGGGTTCCCCCATTTTTTTTTCCATATTTGCTTTCCTTGCCATTGCTTTTAGATTTGCAGGAGAGGCAAGTTTCAGCTCAATGGTTGGCTTCTCTCAATATGGAAATTTCAGGATGGAGGAGAAGAGGGAGGGAAGAAGAAAGGATGCTTCTCCAGAATTTCAGTGATATTGTCGTGGCAGTCCAGTGGAAGGAAGGTCTTTTGAGGTCACTTAGAAGCATCCTTTTGGGATCTCTGTAGGCTAGGCATCACATATCTTGAGACCCATCCCCAGCCTCCAAGCCTCTCTCCATTTCTCTAACCTGTGTATTTAGATTAGAGCGAGAGGACCACTCACAAGTGTCACCATCCTGCCTTTTATAAAAGACGCAGGCTCACACCTGGTACTCCTACTTGATGTCTATGTCAAACCTTTTCTTTTTCTAACCATTTTTGTTTTATTTTTCTGAAAAAGTTAACCCCTTCCAACTCCTCACACATTGGCTCTTCCTCTTGAGCCACAAAGTTTTGATTCTTGCGATGTATGTGCCTTATTTTATGTTAATCTTGTCAATGAGAGGGACCAGTTGATGTTGCCCAATCAGCACTCCAAGGCTGTGCATGCACTGGCCAGAGAGTGCGCGATGGTAGCAGAGTCGGAGCTGTCTTGTATCCTGGTTTCCTGTGTTGTTTTGAACTGATAGGAGGATGTTCTCTTCTGACAAGTTACCCTTGTGTATCCTGCAGACGTGTAAAATAAAATACAAGTTCATTTTTTTCACCTTTTTTAGATTTTTAAAAAATAAAATGTGTAATCCTTTTTTAAAAGAAACACATGTAAATACATTTAAGTATTGTAGGCATAGCGTTCTGATGTGACTGGCTCAGGCGTTCCTCGGACAAGCCTGCAGTCCCGGTGATCTTGCCCACCTCAAGCCCGGGGCTGCAGCCCAGCCACAGATGAACTCTACCTTTGCTTTCAGAACCACTTAGTCCTTTTGTAACAAAGAAAAAAATGTTTCTTACAATGTCAATAAAAAATTCTTTGTATGGAAATTCTTATTGGGTTGTTTATTAAATGCATAGTTGAATGGAAGGAGTGCTTTCTTTGAAAACATCCAGAGCCTGTAGTTGGATCCTGACCCCCCAACGTACAAGACGAATGGACTTTTGCTGTGAGATCCAGATTCTTTAGCCATAAACTGGACAATAAGATGCAGATACATACATGCTCGTGGTGCTGTGAGGATGTTTACCGGGGGGGGGGGGGGCGGCGAGCACACTAGTTGGACCCATTATTGTGTTTCTTACTTGGATTGCTTTGCCACATTCAATGAGGAAGGACGGTGATGGGGTTTAATGTCTAACGACTTAATTTGTCCCTCTTTTTTATGTCATCCTCTCATTTCAGAAATGCCCTAGCACAGGTCAACAGAAAATTCTTGACATGATAAAAGCCTACTTTATGTGGTTTTTAATAACTGACGTTGGTCAGAATAAATTCTCCCCTGTGTTTTTCCTGTCAGTATGCAATATTGTTCTCTAGATCACCATAAACCACTCCAAGAGCCTTCCCTTCTTCTTTTTAAGTAGTAGCGTATGTCTTTTGAGCCATCAGCTTAGGGCAGTGTTTCTGAGAAGAACGGGAGTCCTGGCTGTGGGTATCTCAAGACTACAAGGATGGGCGCATACATATGTACGTGGACACACACATGCACACATGCGTGTATACACACGTTTTCCCCAGGCTTTATGTCCTGCGGGGGAGATATTGTTCTGCCCTCCAGCAGGGTTTCTTCAGCCATAGGAATGCCTCATGCTTTCCTGATTCTCAGGGGAGAATTTCCTCCCATCCAATCCAAGATGCTTTGCTTTTATAACTAGATCCTTTATATAAGATACCCAAATGAATCCAGAAAAAAAAATGAGAAAAAATATGAATTTATAAATTCATATTCAGTTATAAGCTGCCGGCTCAAAAAGAGACATGCCGTATAGCAAATCAAAATCAAAAAAATGAGAGAAATTAGGCTAAGAGAGAGGAAACATAGGGAAGGGATGCCCCAGGAATGAGGTGGATGACGTAGGCTCCTTCAATCCACATGAGCGGGGGTGGATGGGGCTCCCAGCTTTGTAAAAATGCCTTTTGCAGAGGAAATACAAAGGAAGCAGAGTTTGAGGTAAAACAAGTGGAGTTACAATCTGTTGTTTTCTAAAGATCTCCTTTAAGTAATTTTGGGAATGTAAAGACATTATATCTTACCCAAACAAGAATACAATAGAATGCTAAAATGAGATGGGAAAGTTTACCTGCTGCCAAAATGTCTTATTGGTCTTTTTTTTCTCCTCCCGGGTTTTCTACTTATTTTCTTGGCAGTCTTCCCTTTTGCTTTGACTTTAGAGTATATTTACTCTTCCAAACACAGTCTGAGCACGTCTTTCCTTTCACATTAGCCTTTACTTTCTAAAATCTCATTTTACTAACATAGACCTCATTTTACTAACATATGCCTTTTCTACCTATTCAACCTCTTGACAAGTTTTCAAAACAGTAATAGATTCTAAATTGCTTTTAAGCTTTTTTCTTTTTTTTTTCTCTTTATATTTTATTGCATTTTAGGTTTTGGGGTACATGTGAAGAACATGCAAGATTGTTGCATAGGTACATACATGGCAGTGTGGTTTGCTGCCTTCCTCCCCTTCACCTATATCTGACATTTCTCCCCATGTTATCCCTCCCCAACTCCCCATCCCCCACTGTCCCTCCCGTAGTTTCCCCCCACAGACCCCAGTGTGTGATGCTCCTCTCCCTGTGCCCATGTGTTCCCATTATTCAACACCTGCCTATGAGTGAGAACATGTGGTGTTTGATTTTCTATTCTTGTGTCAGTTTGCTGAGAATGATGGTTTCCAGGTTCATCCATGTCCCTGCAAAGGACATGAGCTCATCATTTTTGATGGCTGCATAGTATTCCATGGTGTATAT